GCTCGGAGCTCCTCTTCCACTGAGTTCACAGAAGGGCTCGCTTGAGCATCTGGGATGCATTTGGCTACCACTGTCACCTCCTGGGCTCTACTCTCAGAGATACGTCTCTTATTTGGTAGCCACACAAGTGGTGCTGGCCAAAACCAAAGAGGTAAAGCATTTCCAATTCTTACTAAGCTCCGGATATGGCAGCTGGTTTCCTGCTGCAGAGTTTGGAGAACAATGAGTCCCTCAGTGGGAACAAGCTGTCCCTAGTCGAGAGCATCCAGTGTGGCATTCTTCAGGAGGTTTCCCACAGCTAGTCTGCATGCTGCTGCTCACCAGCAAGTGCTGGAAGGCACCAGGTCTGCCACCGCAGTGTCCTGCCCAGGGGCCTGGCAGCAGGCTTCCTTTGCTTCCCCCTTCCCTCCTCAAAGTCTAGTGCAAGTCAAAAAGCCAACAAAATTGAGGTCACTGGAGAAAGAGTTTGAAATTTTGAATGATTTTTATTAAACACCATTAGTCTACACTGCACAGTTAATGAAACAGCAAAGCTCCAATCTCTTAGAAGAACGATGATTGATCATGGATCGGAAAAGCAGTTCAGTGTCCCCTAACCCGATGTGAGCCTGATGAATGATTCATTAACATCTCATGTCAGAAGCAGAAAGGGGCAAGAACTGCAGCCTGGCCTGGAAGGACTTCCTTACCCTCCTCCCCCCACCCCCCTCCGCCCTCCCCACAATGCCATTTTCTTTGAGTAGATGGATTACAGAGGAAAATGTGATGCTCTTGGTAAAGAGGGCTTCTAGATTTGTGAGGAGGAGAATGGAAAGGGAATTACTTTTTCTTTCCCTGAACATATCAGATGGTAGGATTAATGTCTGAGACCAGCCTATCCGATTAGCCTCCTGCCAGGGTAAATGCCAATTATCAATACACAAATGCCATCTCTGCTGGTGGAGTTTGCTAACACCAAAGAGAAAATGAATCAGGGTTTAATTATGAGAATAAGGCTGTGCGGGTGGAAATGACGGACAACAACAACAACAACGACAACCATAATGACGAAGAGGAGTTTAGTCTGCCAGTTGCATAACAGAGTAGTGACAACTGGCTCGATATTTTTCCCCCACAGAATTGAATTCGGGGGCACTGAATCGACCCATTCATTTGATATCGTGTAGCTACATTGTCTCGCCACACGGTTTCTCAATGGGGATAGTGATGCTTCTCTAAGCAAGCAGCTCATTGCCTTACTGAGTAGTTCTACCCAGTGATCCAGTGTGGGTCTCCCACCTGCCAACTCACGCAGGTGAATTTTATCATGTCTGTTGAGAAGTACGTGAGGGGGAAGCCCTCACAGCTAAATTGATCCTGCCTTCAAAAATGCTTTCCAACTTCAGACTCCAACTTCAACCTCCAGGATGCAAATTTCAACAAAACAAACTCTGAATTAGACAGCTTTGGGAAAGATGACAGACCAAGTATCTTTCCAATGCATTTAGCAGTACAATGTCCAAATGCAAATCCATGCACTTGGAAACTCAACAAAACACATTTTAGCCAATGGTTTCTAATTTAGCAACTTGGTTATTGACTGAAGATTTGAATCTTTTGATGTCAACGTCAAGTCTTTTAAAAGTTAGCAGTAGCTAATCTGCTTTTCCAATTATGTCATCCAAATATAAAACTACAAGTATTTTCCCAATGAGATTATTAAGTAATTAACAGTCTACAGGCTGGCTAACAACATGCTTACGGCTAAATTCTACCCCGAGGACCACACTAGTATACTCTTTTCAAATTAATCCTACCTACCAAAATCAGACAGTAATATGACAAAACCACTAAAAAATCCAAAGTTAATTAAAAATACAAAGCCAAGCCAACATCCTAACACAAACTCACCAAACCCTTTGTGGCTGGAGCTTGGGTGACAAAGGAAGGCATAGTGGTGGCCCCACCTGGGTCACGTTGCAGGGCTGAGATCCTTCTGTGTACTCACTCACGTGGAGCTTCCTGTTACTCTGCCCATCACCCTACCTCCGTGTGCTCATTGAGATGTGTCTCACCCAGCCTCCGTCAAGGTCTCGAGGCAGGATCTCTCACCGCCATCCACAGGTCCTATATCCCTCCCACAAACTGGTACACTGAAGAGATTTACTTGACAAAATTTCTCAATCCCTCACATCGCCGCACACTTACGACACAGATCACCATTTACAATGTGATGAATACAGTGCCTAGAAAACAGCAACAGTCCTTAATTGTGAAACTGAAAGATGTCTCATCTCCAGGGATAGGAAGGCAATTCATCCTCCGTGTTTAATTGGTTTCTAAGCTGCTTTACAAATAGGTCTACTAAATAATCAGGTGGTGATCCTGAGCTCAACTGTCAGATTTGATAATCGTGCTGCTGATTTGGCACACACTTTATAGTCACCCACCAGAGGTGACATCAGGCAGCAGGATTCTCTGCTGCCTCCCTGTTGTGTGTAAAATAGATAAAAGGACTCGCTGAAACTAGAGCTACAAGTCTTTCATCCACAAGGCAAGATGCTTGTTTCTCTTGGAAACTGCCCCTCGCATTCTAATGTCTAGTTTCTGGAGAGTGAATTTCAAGAAGAATCTACCCCTAAATCCATGATGGTCTAGGATCGTGGTTAGGTTGAACTTACAAGTGAAGCCAGTGGGCTTCAATATATATAGTAATAGTCAGGCACTCTACCCGGTAAGCCATAGAAAACAAACAGAACTTGGGTCACTGTGAAGCCATCAGCTTAAATTTTATGTGTGACAGCCACCTTGGGTGTTTGGAATCTTCCATATTATCTTTTCCCCCATTTAAGAGGCTCAGAGAAGATTCTCTCCGGTTTCATTTGTCTGTGTGCATGTCTGCATGTGTGTGTGTTGTTGCGGACACTGTATAGCTCAACCACACTGGGAGCATAGAAAGTGCTGGGTTCAGCTGCTGGGATGTTCCCAGCAGTCATCTGATAACGTGGCCTCAGCCACTGGAGTACAACTTCCACAGCCTCATTATAAAGCACAGGGTCTTAACCTCAAAGATGACCAGGGTGGAGCTCAAGTCTGGCTCTTTTGCAACTGGAGATGTATCTAACCTTGACAATGATGAGAGTGCAGGGCGATCCCTTGCTGTTCCTGTCACAGACTTGCAGGACTTGCTTTAAAAATCATCCAAGTTTGCACCTCTCGTGTGCCTATGTATTATTTATCTGGTCATCACTCGGTGAACAGAATTCAATAAACTCAACAGATTAAAGGCGACATGGAATTATATACCAGCAGGTAATTATAAAGAACTAACATGAACAGTGTTCACTATGCGTGGGGGATTCTTCTGGTGAGATGGAACACCAAAGATGATATTTACACTGTGAATGTTTGCGGACATAAAATGAATGTGAAGGATCAGAAGGGGTGGGGATAGTTACAAGTGATGTAGAAATGTCTCCAAATTAGGTGAGCTGTTCCCAATCTTCCGGGATCTTTCAAAGTACCCTAGGGTGAATCATGACCCCAAGACACATTTTTGTGTTAAAAAAGCTAGCCAGTACTTAGAGAGTTAGTAGTTTTCTCTGGAATGTTCATGGAAATGATTCCTGCTAATATAGACTTGAATAAAATCAGTGATTTCAGTATTTCAGTCAAAGGCTAATGAACCTAGAAAAAGGAAAAGAAAAGAAAGATCAAAGAAAAGAGGAGGAGGAGGAGGGGGAGGAGGAGGAAGAAGGAGGAGGAGGAGGAGGAGGAGAAGGAGGAGGAGGAGGAGGAGAAGGAGGAGAAGGAGAAGAAGAAGGAGAAGAAAACGAGGAGGAAAAGGAGGAGGACTAGGGAGAGGAGGAGGGGGGAGGGGGAGGGGAAAGACGAGGAGGAAGAGAAACACTATAAAATAGAAAATGTGGCTTATAATTAAAGTCCAGATTTTAAAGTCACTAGGAAGCAAGCTGTATATTCTTACTCCTAGGTAGTGATAATTTGACTTCTGTTTCCAGAGATGTGAACAAAATACAATAAAAATATCAGGCCAGGAATGGATCTGCTTACCAACTGCAAAAGGGCAGAGGTATGAGTTCCTTGGACATTTCCAGACCTCTTCTAATCTCTCATCTCCAAAACTGGAGGGCAGTATTTTGGCTTCTAGGGTGTGCACCCACTTAACTGCCCCTCAAAAGGAGATCTTTACACAAAGAGAATCCCAGGTGAGGATTTAGGCTTTAGATCAGGGAGTTCAGGAATATTTAATACCAGCTGATGCCTTGATGTTGTCGAAATAAATGTTGCCACTTTGTCTCATTAAAATTTTAAAAATAGGGCATCAGGGAAGGGATGCCAGCAAGAAAAGAGCTCTGGTTGTATGCCATGGTATTGTTGAAGAGCAGCATTGCTATGCTCATTTAGTTTCTTAATACTCTTGATTTTATGATGTTGCTACAAACATCTAACCAGTGGGTTTTGACAATGAAAATTCTCACCTGGAGACTGTGTCTGTGGGAACCACAAAAATTTAACAATGGATTCTGAAATACGCTCTTTTCTGGACATAAGAGTAGAGTTTGGGGATGGCTATTGCTGAAAATTTGAATCTTTGTAGGTCCTTTGTGTCTAAGATCATATATATATGTATGTATGTAAGACATCTCATTTCATTTCTCAGGAACCTGTTATCACAAGTATTTCCCATTCTTTGTTTTGGGTAGTGTGGACTTAAAACAATACTGTAGGGACTGTGTCATTGTATCAAGCACAAAAGGATGGTGGGATCTGAGAAATGCATATAAAATACTGAAAAATGACTAAGTAACAAAACATATACTGATCTCAAGTTGTAGTGTCCACTTACAATGACTTCTGTTTTTCACAGGTATCAAAAGAAGCGTAAAAACAAACAGAATCAAAGAGAACTTTCCCAAATGAGTGGAGTTCCACCAGTGACCGTTGGTGCTCTGGCAGAGGTAGAGTGATGGGTGGTGATGCTGGAGATGGGGGAGCACCCACTACAACAAATGGGCATCGATGCGCAGCCAACACAGTCCCTGGCGAACATAGCGGACGAGATTGGTCATGCTGCTGTGCTGGGTCAGGGGCCCCATCAGTGTGTCCAGATCGCCAAAGAATTCTGAAAATCAGAGCAGACTTTGGTCAGGCCTTTACGTATCATCTCAGAAATAGGTGCCAGATTACATAAGCTGCCGTCACACACCAACACAACCACACGGACACCAGAAAAGTATTCATTGTTCATTCATTCATTCAACAAGAATGTACAGACTACCTCCTGGGGGACCAAAGCTCCATATGTATAGGAAGCATTATTATTTTGATCTAAAAACTCTGAAGCATAAATAATATTTGTATGGGTTACTGTGATTAATAAAACACAGTTCTATTTAAATCAGTTGATTTGCTGTAAGTTTTTTTTCAAATCATCATCCTCAGATAGCAGATTCTACAAGTGTATTATAATCCTGTGGAGGTTTGTGAAGTATATACCACACACACACACACACACACACACACACAAATCATGTTATATACAAAAATGTATTTGTCTCTATATTTGTATATGTTCATATAATAAAGATACATAACATTTATATATGTTGAAATGTACACAAAATGCATAGAATGTACTTAAATCTATTTTAACATTACAATTTATATTTTTAGATATTATAAATTTCTACTGGGAAAGAGGCCCATATACACAAAATGGTAGGGAGCCATGGTGGATAGGATATCGGGTTGTTTGCCATTGTATGCATTACTGAGTTGAAAGTATTCTCCTTTCCTTTGTCTAAAGAAACTGCGTTTACCAATTTTTCTCGGCATGATGCACATAGCCAGTGAGCCTGGACAGCAATTATAGCCATCAGCATCTAACACTAAATAAATGTCTCAGAGGCATCTGATTCGGTAAGTCTTGTTACCAAAGGAGGTAATTATCAAGGGAGACAACCTGCAGATATCTGTCCCTAACAACACCCACCTCACCCCCAAGGACATGGATGAAAAGAATACCTGGCTGATTTCCCTCCAGCTGATTTGGATAAGGGGCAGTGCCGACGCCACACTGCTAACCCCCGAGACTGCAGGTTTAGACAGTCTGCTTTGGAGCGGGGTGGGGGGAGGTAGGTGGAAAAGACTGGATGATGTCCAGTACCTAGATGTCCCCTTTTCACGTCTGAATTTATGTGTCTAACACCACATTGATCTTGGTTATGAGAGGGTTCTCAGGCATCCTCTGTCAGCTCCTGACAGGGGAGGCAGCCCCGGCCATAAGGAAGTCACGTGAGCTCTGGCTGGGGGTGAGGATCCTGGAGGCCGTGGGAGCAGTGTGTGCCGAAGACTGTCTTAAAGGGGTTCGGATGCTCTCTTGCCTTCTTGGAAAGCAATTTCCACGCATGGGTTCTACGCACTTGATTGACCAGCAGATGGTATTTCACTAAACAATGCATTTATTCTTCATGTTATGTAGAACATATGGGCTCTTTTTCCAGGTATCAACTTCATTTGATTATGTGATACCTTTAAACTTGTACTATGCAATAAAAGTAAATTGCTGCTGATAAAGGAGTAAATTATTTTTGGCATCTAAAATACATTCTTATGTAACCCAATATTAAGGGAAATGTTAAAGGACCTAGTCATTGGTGAGCCAGGACGCCCCCTGGGTATTCTCTGTACAAAGCCCGCTGTGGCATTCCTCACTAGATACCCAGGTCACCATTTTAATAACTGCTTCAAGTAAGTATTTGGGGAGGTAGGGGACAGGGTTCTAGACCAAAGGCCAGAAGACAGCATCACCTCCGTTGGCCCATTTTAGCACTGCTCTGCAATAAGCTATCTGAAGCTGCTTGGGTGGGCAAGGTACGAGGTGGGGTGGAGCCCTTCCCCCGGGAGAAGCCAACCTCACCACCTCCATGGCACAGTTCGGTGGGAAAAGGTGCAAGCACACGTTTGTCTCCGGTGGTGTATCTCTATGTGGACAAGACACAGGGGGTAGGGTCTCTGACTCTACGCAGTTCAAAAATGACAAGTGTGTGAAACTCAGGGCTGCAAACAGGACATTCCCAACTGGGCCCTCTCCCCAGTCCACTGCAGAGCCTGAGGCCGGCATTAGGCTGGAACATGTTCTTTCTGCTGGTAGAGTGCAGAGTTGTTTTGATTCAATATCAGGAGGGAACTTAACAACTCCTGACACACTGTGCTAAGGACAAGATTAGCACCATTTCCCTCGAACATCAGCACAGCCACCACGTTGCTCCTGCAAAGTTCTGCAGTTAATTTAAAAGGAATTACTTTTAACAGATTTTGAAAATGGATGCAATTATGACGGCAATCCATAAATATTGAACCACCCTCCAGTTATCAATACAAAATAAGATAGATAAGAGTGGAGGCAGACAAGAGGAGCCAAGTATTAAGATGCTCATGCTTTCTCTTGCAATTCTAGAACTCTTGGGTGGGCCTGGCCATCTGGACCAGTTGTCTTTGAATTTTCATAAGTTTATAAAAGTAGAGAAGTTAAGAACTGCCCATCATTCAGGTAACGGTGCAGGAGGTCACTGAAGGTCTCTGAGGACCTATTATGAATCTTGTTCTCGAGATGGGTGGTGTAGCCTACTGGTTAAGAGTTCAGACTCTGGAATCACATGGGGTTCTAGATCCAATTCCTGCTTCCAACCCTAAGAGCTGTGATGTCATGGGTGAGTTTCTTAACCTCAATGAGCCTCAGTTTTTCTTTATCTACAAAATAGGGACCCATGAGGCAACAAATGATACAGCAAACAGTACAGTGCGTGGCATGTAGAAATTGTTGCTCAATTTCTTCCTGGTTACCGATATAACCGATAATCTGTAAGTAGTCCTGGGGCTCACTGTGAGTTTGTAGCTGGGCTATGGGTGGAAGTCATAGGTTATAGAATGTGTTTTGATACTCACAGAATCTTAGAGTCATATAGATACATAATAATATGGAGTAAGAGAAAATATTTGTTGGATCTCTTCCTCATACCTGCCATTTTATGCTAGCTGCTTTATACATTATTAAATCCATTACAGCAATGGAAGCTGGGAAGTGGCTCATAGATTTAAGCAACTTGCCTGAAGTTACCCAGCACTTCATGACCCAGGTGGGATTCTAACTTAAATCATCAGGCTTCACAATCTGCACCCCAGCCCATTTCCTGCGAAGCCCTCTCACCACTCACGACCTCGCTGCATCCTTGCCCACTACTCCATGCAACCTGCACTGCATCATGCACCCACCGCGGCCGCCGGACTACAGGATGTGAACGTCTCCCAGTCCCTGGCCACACGGTTCCACTGCTCTAAACTGCCGGGCACTCTCTGCTGTCTGATTCTGAATGGCCCAATCTGTGCCCACCTTGACTGTGACTGCTGGGCCAGAATCAGCCATGTCAAACAAATGGCCAGGGCAAGAGTGTAATCTATTTGCACTTCCCACCTCCATCAGTATAGTGAGGCTTCACCGTGGACCTAGGTGACAGCTGAGGTCGCAGATGGCAGCATGAGTTGCCAAAGAGCACTGGCTCACTGTCTGGTGAAGCAGGGTTTTCTCTGCATTTGTTTTGTAGCAAACCCCACATGTTACCACAAACAAGACCCTGATCCTTCATCCCAGTGGGCCGTCCCTTTGACCTCACCTCTCCAAAAAAAACAAAACAAAAACAACAACAACAACAAAACAGATTAAAGTTGACAACAGAGGTCAATAGGATCTTAATTAATTTGCAAATCATTCTTTTTTCCTTTGCCTTCGTTTCCCTGTGCTGATCCTTACTATTGAATGAAAATCTGAAACAGTCATTTGCCAACACATCACAGTTCAGATTGGGTTAAGCTTTGAAGGAGAAAACAAAAATCCCTGGGTTTGTTCACTCTCTCCGCAAAAATGGTTACCGTGTCAGCCCTGAGTTAACCCTCTCTCTCCTCATCTACACCCTGGAAATCTGAGAGACAGAAAGATAAGGCCACCATGGAAAACTCTAGCCCTTCGAAGCATGGTTGGCTCTACTGTAGTCGGTGGACACAGGTGGAGCAGACACGCATACCTTTGTTCTCTCTTGTCAGTTTGTCGGCCATGTCCCAGTGTTCATAGCCCCGTAACACATTGCTGGTGATGTTGACGTGGCTGGCGGCCATGTGGTGAATGCGCTGGGGGATGGTGACCGGGCCATTGTTACAGCTGCCCATTGCGTTGATGGGAGAGACATTGTTGAGAGACACCGGGGAAGGAGTGTTCCTGGGGAAAGGGGAAGAGACAGGCCTGGTTAGGCTGGCTGTGAAGAGTGACGGCGGGCTTCTAGGCCTCCTCCCTCACCACACTGAGACCACACGGGAACATCACTGCCGCGGTGAGGGTGAGCATGGTGAACATATATGAAGCTCAAGTGCGGCGAAGCTGGTCCTCAGGGGACGTCCTGGAGCTTCTGCCAACACATTCATTTCCTCTAGAGGCCCAGAGTGGGAAGAGTTTATTTGTTATCACAGCATTCCGGCCTCGTCAGGGCAGCCCACACACGGCTGCGGTGCCAGGCTCCAGGATGAGTCAGGCTTCTCCTTTTCTAACTCAGTTAATCACTGATATCTCTCTGTCTCCCGATGCCTCCATATGCACCGCCACTTTCATTTTAAGATACCAGAGAGAGTCGGGTGAATGTTTCTCTGGCATTAATTCTATCCAGCAACGTAGCTCTTACTTTGAATGTATTGACACATGTTGTGACGTTTCAGAGAGAGAAACAGCTCAGAGCTATGATGATCTCTCTACCTGCTGCCAGAATGGCGACTGGCAGTTAGGGAAGACTGGATATGCGGTGTTGGGCTATTATCAAAGTGCTTTGTGGAAACCACCATGACGATTTGTTCCAAATGTAGTCACCACAATAAACAAAATGCAGTTCCTCAAAGCCCCCAGAAGCAGTCTTAGGGATGCTGGAAAAAGTATGATTTTGAGTATCTCTTTAAGATTCTGGAAGACATGCTGCAGGGATGGTTGCTAATTGCTGTGCATTCACCTGCACGCTGTTCCTACTTTGGGCAGGACCAATGTTCGGATATAGGTTTTGGTTTAATTCTTTAATGTCAGAAACAAGGAGTCACCTGCCATCTGCACATAGCATGGGGGGCCTGGGCGGCTTCCTGGACATAGGAGCAAGGCCTGTGCACACCCCCAGCCTTCATATCCGTGTGCACAGAGTGGGTGTGCACCCCAACAGGTACCCTACACATGGGATTTGGGGGCAAGGCCATCACAAAGTATCAAAACACTGGGGCGCTCTGAACTCAATTTCGGACCAAGTGACGTGCTTGCCTCGAGATTCCTGCATGCTGTGCCAAGCCACATGAAAGCTTCGGTCCATTTCTCGAAATAGAGTGTATCTTCTGGTATGCTCTAGTATGAGGGGGGAAGTGGATCCTCACACTTGCTCTGCACTTCTCTGTAAGAGAGTGTGAAGGTTTCCTGCTCTGTTTATAGTTTCTGAGGTCTTTTGACACTTCTTGATAGAAAGATTTATCCTCCTGGAAGGGGTGGGGGGCGTAGATAGACGTCCCAGCTAAGGAACCTAAGCCCAGAAGGGTTAACTAATGACAAAAAAGGGCCACCCCAAAACCAAAAACCCAAGCAGTGGCTGCTGAATATCTTTGTTGTGGTTGCTTTTCTTTTCTCCGCGTTTTTGTCATTAACCCTTAGATGTCAACGTAAGGCAAGAAAAGAATATGTCCTCATTCATAATCGCTGGAGAAAACTCACAAGGCTGTCAGGTGTCACGAAGGTTGAAAGGGGAACTGGGTGGTGCTGTGAACAAAGTATGTACTGGAACGCCAGGACACCTGCCTTCTAACCCTGGCCCTGGGCATGTCCACTCTGCGGCCCCCCTCCCCCCATCACAGCCGTTCCTTGACAGGAAGAGAAGCCTTGATTCAGTGAATTCCAATCATGTCCAAAAGTCACAAGGGGAAACACATCACCTCTGTTTACTTTGTACATTTTAAAAAGGACTTTTTAGGGGTGCCTGGGGAGCGTCTGACTTCAGCTCAGGCCATGACCTCATGATTCATTAATTTGAACCCTGCATCGGGCTCTGTGCTGACAGCTCAGAGCCTGGAGCCTACTTCAGATTCTGTGTCTCCCTCTCTCTTTGCCCCTCCCCCACTCACACTGTCAAAGATGAATAAACATTAACAAAATTTAAAAAAAATAATAAAAAGGACTTTTTAGTTGGCAACAGTGAGGTGCTCAGTGAGGGGCTTTCTTTGCCCATTACTTCCCACTTTCTTGTAAATAAGCAGTAGAAGAGGCAAGGAGAGCCAGGGCACGGGTTTGCTTTTGGTCATGGCTGATCTCACAGGTGGCCCTCGGATGCCGTCCTGCTCAGCAGATCTGCATGCCACACTGGACTGATGAAAGAATTCAAAGCTGCCTAAGGACTTGTGACCCTGGCCACAACAGTGTGGTGTCACGCTCATCTTGTGGGGAGGGAGGTGGGTGGCCTTCCAGCTCCAACTCAGGTCTCCCCGCTGCTTGGGGTTCCTTGTCCTGTTTTCTTCCTTTGAGTGTACCTGTAGATCCTGTCTTTGTCTTCACACGTTCATTGCCCATGCAAATGAGTGTACACACACAGGCACACACCTCCCACCATTAGCACAAGGGTCCCGTCCACCTGTCAGCCACACTCACTCCCACTGCTGTTCCTCAGACTCATCAGGCACCCCATGCTTCGGAAGGTGGTTGCTCTTCCTCTGCCTGGAATGCACTTCCCCAGGTATCTCTGTGGGCTGCTCTCCACCATCCTTCTCAAACGTCCCTATTCCAGATCGGTGTACTGCTCCCCCTTCCCCCGCCAGACGAGCTTTCTAGTCCCCCTTCCTGGTTTCCATTTGCTCTATGACATGTACCACCATTTTGCATACCATGTTTCTTTCACTGTTTTTCTCCACCAGAAAGTGACTTTGAGGAAGGCAGGGATATTTGCCTCTGTCATCCAGTGCTGTGCCCAGCATCTAGAACAGTGCCTGGCACACATACTATGTACTTAAAGAATACTAGTTAACGAAATGAATGAACCGTCTTCCCACCATCCCTCTATCCCCTCTATCATTATTTAGCATCCAGTACCTATAAGAGGCTCTCAAGAGTGTAGAACAACATGTAGCACAAGGATGAGGGGTCATGTTTATCAAGTGCCTGGCAGAGTGTCTCATCCATAGGATACACTCAGTAAGCACTATTTACTGAGTGAATGAAGAACGAATGGCCCGTTAGTGGAAAGGGCAAATGGTGTGGGGGGCAGACCCATCCATTTGTGACAATCGAGGGCAAGTGCCCCAACAGCAGTGGACCTTCTACTGGTGCCATCTTGTGTGCTTCCCAACTCAAATGGTCACCGCAACCCTAAATGCTGAGGCGGCAGCAGCAGCAGCCACAACTTGTTCAGGTTTCCGTGCGCTCAGATATTACCTCTAAACCTCAGCAAAAGTTTGCCATGCCTGCTCAGTACCAAGCGGATTTTTCTTCTCCTTCTTTCCAACCGCTTCTTTGCAATTTTCTCCCCCAGCCTTCAAGGTCAGGGGTTGCAGCATCTGGAAGGTGCCCCACGAGTCACCGTGTGGTGCCAGCCACCGTCATTTGCTAGGAAAGACAGGCTGTGGTCTTCCTTACATATAAGAAGCCCTCCCTGACCATCTAGAGGGGCCCAAGCTCTTTTCCTCCTGGGCTTCCACAGAACTTTCTTCACACCTGTCACCTTCCTGCACTGGACTGTGCGCTCCTGGACTACAGGCATCGCATTGAATTCAGCTGTGTCCCCAGCCCCTCATATGGAGATGCGCCCCAAGTGTTTGCTGAATGAATGGGACATAACCCCTGGGTGACCATTTTGAGTTGCCTTATTCAAAAACTCTATGGCCTATCAAAGGCAGTGTGCTCTCTTCAGACAGAAGACACTTAAAATATCCTTTCAAGAGGCTTTTAATATGACCTCACAAGCTTAGGATGTGTTTGAGTTCTTTCATTTCAGAATTAAAAAAACTTTTTTTCCCCAGAAATCCTTTAATGACTGCTTACCTGAACTTGCCCTTGCTTTACTCTGTGCTCAGAGAAAATAGCTTTCTCTGGGCCTTTCAGTGGTTATGTTTATTTTCTAAATTTCCAGAGAGAAGCATTCTTTTGCTTTTGCTGTTTGATATGAAAGTAAGACTTAATCAACAATTTAAAGGATATTTCATTTCAATACAGTAATTGAGTTAATGCGTAGTTTTTAATGGTTTGTTCCCTCACTCTGAATGTGTGTACAATCTGAGAGCAGAGTTCATGTCCCACCGCTCTGGGAGTGTGCTTTGTAGGTATTTATAAAGTGGCAGAGGAGACTATTTTACTCTGGAAGAAAGCATATGGATCAGAGACCCCAGAATTTGGAGATGATGAAACATGGGAAAGAGCGGCTCGTTGTGAAAGCCTGTGTGTGCAGTCATGGAGTTTCCCCTCCCACTGGTGGTAGAAGGTGGGCCTGCGGTGGTGAGGGAGGTACTGGAATCAGAGGAAACACTGATCATCAAGCATAGAGAGGCATCTGTGTAGCTAGTTCACAGGCAGACGCTCAAAACCTCCATCTTAGAAGGCACGTCTCTTCACAGGGGCCATCAGGTCCAGCCCTTTCATCTCGGACAGAGAGAAACATGGCCAGTGAGGGGGAGGGGCCACTCAGCTCACGGGGAGCTCTGGACAGCCCCAGCGATGGCCCCAGGACCAGCTCCCTGAGGCTCTGACTCCCACCTGCTGCAGGGAAACTGGGCAGCCCACGGGAGTGGGTGAGTCCATCGGGCCTTACATCAGCAGTATAACGGATGCATCTATATATTTTAGGTCAGGCTGTTTTAGTATTAATATAAAAATCACCATGAAGGCTCAGATAATTGGCTGACTAAGTGCCTTCACATTCTCAGCACTATTATGCCTTTGGTTTTATTAAACAGCACTTACTATACATCAATGAATATTTCATTGGTCTTTCATTACTGAGTGAATCATTGAAAAATCACTGCCGCACAGTTAACTTTACCCTGCCTCCCTCAAAATGGCGTGGTGCTTGCCATCTCATTAACAGATATTTTTATGGCCATAATTTGGCTTAAAGATCAAACAGTTAAAGGAATTTGGAATGCCATCATGTTAAACTTTTTTGTCTGGCCATTAGCCGAAACCTGACTAGAATTGTGTGGGCACCAAAATTGAACTAGTCTCAGAATTGACCTGTGCTCCAGAGTTGTCGATACAAAATATCTGGGGTCAATACAAAATATGTGGGGGTCTATCAAGTCACTGAGTTTCTGAAAAAGCAATTTTTGTAAGATACTTACTTTCCGTTGCCTACCCAGGGAGATGGTATCTGAGCGACTTTTGAAGCATTTTGCTAAAAGAGAGAGAGAGAGAGGGACGTAAGGACATCTATTTTGTGTTTTATTAATTCAGAAACAGATGGAAGTGTGATTTAGAGTACATTAATATTGATTGCAGCATTTCGGGATGCCTCCTGTGTCGTTAGCGGGGCTGGGATGTGCGCGCACGTCAGCACACCACGACGCACACTCGATGAAAATAGCTGGTTAGGATAATTAGTGGGCTCCAATCAGGACCATGAAAGTCACTTGATGAAAGATCGTATATACTAAAAGGCCCAGTGAAATCAGACTCAGTTCTCCAAGAAGTGGTTTAATTATCCTCATCTGAAATTTATTCTGCAAAACAAGCTCTTCAGAGTACTGGCAAGCTCTTCTCCTTTAGCTCCCCTGGCAAACTTGTTCCCTGGGAGGCGAAGTGGCCTGTAATTTCTGCCATCCCAGGAATGTGCCAGGACGAAGCAGCAGCGTTTTGTGGTTTGTTCTGTCGCGTATCTCCTTAATGTGCTATCTTGACACGCAAATCCATGGTTAGCAGTGCAACTGGCCCAGGGCTGCGCTGCCTTGGAACTCCAAAGTAGCCTCCTTCCCTCTGAATGGGACCGGACCGGTTTCAAAACCGGGCCTCCTGCATTAGGCAGAGCACACGCTTGTGTGGCACTCAGTACCACCACCTCAGGACAGTGGCCCGGCTCATTATAATGACTTCACCAGGTCAGAGCCCAAGGTGCACGGGACCAGGACCCCTGGGGGCACCGAGCCTGACTCAGGCCGGCCTTTGCAGCATCAAGACCAAGCTTACGCTCTTCCACTGGCTCCTGGGTTCCGGCCCAGCCCCCTTTGCAAATGGGGTGCTGGAGAGCGTGGGGATTTTCGGGAGCCCAGCGAGCATGCACTACTTCTCTGGACGGTAGGGCCCCACACCCAAGGTGCGTTCTGCAGACTCCAGTTTTTAATCTAAAAGAAGCTCAATACTGCCAGGAGAATGAGTTCTTTAACATCTTTTTGGTAGTTTTGCAGTGCCCGGTCCCAGGCCAACACTATCTGACTCAGGGGGATGCGACCCAGAACTCTGCTGTCACAAGCTCTCCAGGACACCCACGTGCCCACTCAGATTCAAGAACTGCCTTTCTAGAGCACGGGTAGAGACCCGTGGACGCAGGAAGCGATGGGCAGCTGCTGTATGTCACCCGCTCACCTACATGTGCACCAGCTTCGTGGCATGGTGGCCACACCACATTCACAGCTTGGCGAGCTTGCTCTGTTCCCCACCCGAGTCAGCGTTCTCACACAGCTGCACAATGTCACTCATGGGACTCGGGGGGACTCATGGGAGGTCATGATGGGATTCATTTCAAATAACTGCTTTGGTGCCATTTAGCCAAGCAGTCTCATGCACTTGGCAGAATAATAACAACAACAACAACAATAATAATACAATCGTCCTTCTCTTTCATGGCCTGACCAACAGGAACCTTGAGCCTTCTCAAATCTGAATCATGACCAGTGTTGGGGGGCAAATGAAGCAGAAGCTTCACAGACCATTGAACCAGTGAGACTTTAGTGGCCAGGCTGAGCATCAGGCTGCTGCCTATAGTTTTTATCTGGGCTCGCTCTCCAATTCTGGCATTCTTCTCGCAGTTGAAATATTTTTTTTTTTCTTTTTGCTTGCAAATTAAAATCTCTAGCTCCCTAGACGATGGGTTTCTTTCTTTCTTTCTTTGTTGTTCGTGTGCTACTTTATCTTGGTAACCAAAGCAATCACTTGTTTTAAAGTGCAGCCACTATACTCCAAGACTCCCCATGGCCCAAGGGCTCCGAAGGGAATGGCTATCCCCCCAGAGCCCGGGGTGGCCACAGTGACTTTTCTCACTGTTGAGAAATTTCTGGACTGGGTGCTCACTTAACACGAGGCTGGTCATAGCCACAGTCACAAGCTCTGTTCCCTGGTGGGCTCACTCTGCACTGCGGGGAAGAAGGTGTCGTTACCCTGAGTGCAGCCAGGAAGATGCCAAGGGCCATTTTGGTCCATCCAGAAAATAATCAGGGCTTGCACGATTGCACCTTCTCTTCCTGGAATCAAATCAAACCCGAGCCTTCTGCTGAGCCTTGAAGGAGAGGCAGGAGTGCTACGGCCGGCTGGGATGAGGGAGGTTAATCCTTTGGCAGCAACGACCTTGACATTTAATAACATGCCTGCCATGTCTCATTAGTGATTTTATTCACCCGGTACTTACAAATTATACAAAATAAGGATTACCTTAAAATATTCCATCAGTGATCTGGAGTACTTCATGGCATGGTCCTTCTTCAGCTTAAACATCCGCAAGTAGAGAAGTGATAAACATCTGTAGCTGTGGTGACGGGGAAGGATTATGTTAATGCCGATGCCTAATGAAAGCTACAGGCTGTCAACAAACTGCTGATTCATAGTTCGCGGTTCCTCTCCTACAGTTCTTGAGGAACATAAGTGCAAAAAGAAAAATTTTCAAAAGAGGAGGGGTAAGCACTAGAATCCCATCTTGATAAGGGTATAAATTAGGAGCGTAAATGTTTAGTCAGCGACTGAAGAAATCCATTAGTTATCCTTTAATAGTTTAATGGAAAACAAGAATAATGATCTGGGGTAAGCAGCTTAAGTCGATCTGGAGTTCTCAAATCCTTCTGTGACATTTCAGCTGTTTCATAGCCTCCACGAGACTTACCATAATACTGCCAGCTTTTTGTCCCCATCTGAAGCCAGGGGGCTCGCGAAGTTCTTCAGTCTCATCGCGTACCTTTGGAGAGAAAGGACAAGTGTAAGTGCCATCTATGCGACCTCTCAGAAAGCTCAGAAGTCATTGGTATTCCCATGCCTCGGTGCCACTGCCTCTAACTAGGGCATGTGGGCAAGAGCACACTTTCACGGGCACGTGACAAACGATGATCAACAAGGAGTGCCGTGGAAGGTCTGCTAGTATGGTGTGGGTATAAATGCTGGCAAAAGCATAAGAAAGAACGAAAGCTTGCCATATGCAAGGACATGGATGGAGCTGGAGAGCGTAATGCTGAGTGGAATAAGTCAGTCAGAGAAAGACAAATGCCGTATGATTTCACTCATCTGTGGAATGTAAGAAACAAAACAAACAACTCAAGGGAGGAAAAAAAGAGAGACAAACCAAGAAACAGACTCTTCACTCTAGAGAACAAACTGATGGGGAGGGGAGGGGAGTGGGGATGGGTGGAACAGGTGATGTGGATTAAGGAGAGCATTTTCGATGAGCACAGGGTGAAGTATGGAAGTGCTGAATCACTATACTGTACACCTGAAATTAATAGGATGCTGCATGTTTACTAACTGGAATTTATTGTTTTTAATTAATTTAGTTTTTAATGTTTATTTATTTTTGAGAGAGAGAGAGAGAGTGAGCAGGGGAGGGGCGGAGAGAGAGGGAGACACAGAATCTGAAGCAGGCTCCAGGCTCCTAGCTGTCAGCACAGAGCCAGACATCGGGCTTGAACTCTCAAACCGTGAGATCATGAGCTGAGCCCAAGTCGGACGCTTAACTGATTGAGCTACCCAGGTGCCCCACTAACTGGAATTTAAATAAAAACTTAAAAAAATTTAAAAAAAATTCTGGGAGAAGGCTGTTTCTAGGATCACTCTAGCTAAACAACATTCCTGGTTTGCCATGAGAGGTGGCCACAATGTCAGTCTCAGTTGACTTTATGACAGATGAGCTAAATAATACATGACTCTGTGTGACATGGGCATGGGGAGCCCAAAATCACACAATGAAAGAAGTCTTTTCTAATGGCTCGGGTTTTGAATATATTTCTATAGAAAGTGGTTTTGTTTAGTTTTTTTTTTTTAATATTTTTATTTATTTCTAGGAGAGAGAGAGAGAGAGAGAGACAGTGTGAGCAGGGGAGGGTCAGAGAGAAGGAGTCACAGACTCTGAAACAGGCTCCAGGCTCTGAGCTGGCAGTCAGCACAGAGCCCGACGCGGAGCTTGAACCCACGAACCGCGAGATCATGACCTAAGCGAAAGTCGGACGCTTAACCGACTAAGCCACCCAGGCGCCCCTAGTTTTTTTTTTTTTTTTTTTTTTTTTTTAAGGAAAGTCGATTTCACAGCATTTGAAGGTCTAAGCGCCCTTAATTTATGGTACTTGTATATTTTGTCTTTCCATTCTCTTTAATTGTTACTGTTCCACACTGGGGTGATCAAAGGTTGAGCAGTTCTCATTTTTTTTTCTTCTAGCTGAGCACATCCCATTCTGGGCATTTAGACTCTTGAAAATCAATTCATTGCATAAAATCATTGTCTGAGCTTTAATGCAATTTCACAGGTACCTGTGGAGGAATACGTAATGGAGTTCAGTGTTGCAGAAGGAAGCTGAACGCGCACAGGCGGCCTGGGATAGTTCTCATTTACGAGAAGGTGATGGGGAGCCTGCAGCACAGACTCCCTGTTTTCAACAGCCTCCCCAGAACACTGGCACCCAGGGCTTGCCCCCCACGACTCGGTTACTCCTTCTTGACTTCTGATGAGGGAACGTTTTCCAACAAAAGGACCGGAGCACGTGATGAGGGTCCCTTCTGTCGTTGCCATATTAAGCAAAAGGATTTTTATTATGTAATAAATCAAACTGTCTTTGACAGTTGGATCGCTGAAATGTCAAGTCATTGTGATGCCCCACTTGTTTGCACAAATACATTTCTATTGCAGATTCCCAGGGCTCAGAGCAACTATAATTACTTGATGGAAGAAAACTGGGCTCTCTCTCTGTGGCCAGCATACTGTCGGAGAGAGAGTAATAAAAATCTCTGCAACACAATATTATGCTACTAAAAACTATGTTCATATTACAGTCGCTCTCTAATTGCAACCACTTTTGAAGTGACTTCATAGTGGAGCCTCAACAGCTTAAATGGACCAGAAGACCTAGTTGCTTTAGCCCATTTTATTCTCAACTGAAATTTCTCTCAAAAACAGAAACTTAGACACACACATGCTTTATAGAAAATGTAAAACATGTCCACACAGAGAGAGCACCCAAAGAGGTGCATATAAAACTGAGGCAATCTGAACCAAGTCCATGGATTTTATCAGTGTTGGGGGGAACGGACTGTGGGGCCACAGGAAGTCTCAGTATCATTTCTCACAACTGCACAGGAATCTATAACTGGCTCAAAAATAAACTGTAAAAATATTGACTTTAAAGCAAATGTCCAGGGGCGCCTGGGTGGCTCAGTTAGTTAAGCATCCGACTCTTGGATTCAGTTCACATCATATCTCATGGTTTGTGAGTTTGCACCCCACGTTGGGCTCTGCGCTGTCAGATTCTCTCTCTCCCTCTCTCTCTGCCCCTCCCCCCACTCACCCCCACAAATAAATGAACAAACTTAAAAAAATAAGCGTCCATACATTCTCCATCGACTTTTACCCAGGTTCTACTGAGATATAGTCCTGGGGGAGCAAACTATCAGATAATGAGAAGACAACAACAGCTGTGCTTGGAACAAAATGTTTTTTCGTAAATGATTACGGAAAGAGATGTGTTTTCTAATGGACATGAATATTATTCAGAGATTCACATTGCGTTCTTACCAAGGACAAGATATGATGTTCTGCTTTTATATTTTTAAGAGAGCATGTTTTTTTTTTCCTAAAAGAAAATGAATAAGAAAGAAAAATACAGCAAGCTAGAAAACACCCATAATTTCACCCTATTGCAGCTATGATCTCATTTCCCTTCCAGGTTGGTCCACAGGCAGAAACATGCTTTTCATGGGGAGAAATGTTCTGTGTATATAATTCTGCAGCTCATTTTTACTTTAACATTGTATTATAAACATTTTCATGCAGCTACATAGTCTCCATCATTATTGCAATTCAATGGCTGCAAAGAATTCTGTTGAGTGTACTACAGTGTAATTACTCTTCTGTGATTGATTATTTGGTTTGCTTCTAATTGTGTGCTATAATATATGCCAAACTGAACACCATACAGATAACTTGCTCTACTCTTACAGTTATTTTCTTCAGTACAGGAAATTCAAATTTCTAGAAGTTGAATTACTGGCTGAAAAGATATGAATGCTCATTTGTAGAGGTTTTCCTACACAATGTCAAATTGCCCTCAATTTACAATGATCAATTTCCATTCCCACCACCAGCAAAGGAGAGGCTTAGGTCACCATTAGTGTGTGTGTGTGTGTGTGTGTGTGTGTGTGTGTGTGTGTGTTAGCACTAGGTATTAGCATTTTTATACTTTCTTGTTAATTTAAAAATGCCTTTTTTAACATTTGCATTTCTGGATGGAGAGAGAACATGAATTCTCTCCGTTTCTTTACTAATATTGCCTCTCAATTTTTAAAAAAGTTTTATTATTTATTTTGAGATGGGGGAAGAGCACAGGGGTATAGAGAGATAGAGAGTGAGAAAGAGAGAGAATCCCATGCAGGCTCCGTGCAGTCAGAGCGGAGAGAGAGAGAGAGAGAGAGCACACACAAGTGGGGGGTGGACAGAGAAAGACAGAGTGAAAGAAACCCAGGTGACTCCACTGTCAGCACGGAGCCTGATGTGGGGCTTGAACTCATGAACTGTGAGATCATGACCTAAGCAGAAACCAAGAGTCAGAAGCTTAACCGACTGAGCCACCCAGGTGTCCCACCCCTCAATTTTTAATCCTTATAAGTTTTGCAAGAATTTTCATTTTGTGCATCAATGAAAATCACTGGCAGCCTTGAATACACTGAGAAATCAATTTCCCCTTAAAAAGCCACAGAGTGATAGTGGTGGCTTTCACAGAGCAAAAAGAAAGTCCAAGAGATACTTCACATGCTTCTCTGAACAGAGAAAATTGGAAGGTGGCTGCCTGGCCTGGCAAGGTGAGGCTGCTTTCCTTGTAATCTCCTTACTTTTGTGGCTTTAGCTTAATCATCTGATTCTAGGCAAGCATAGATTTTTGTTCCTTTATAATAGTCCACACTCTTTTAATCGAGCCAGAGGTGACCCGGAAATAAGGACCTATCAGGTAAAGAATGGCTCACTCAATCTCAAAAGCAATTATTTAGTCCATCCAGCAAATTATGGCACTTTCCCACTATTCAGAAGTGGATTAAATTATTTTACAAATATCCGCATGTTACCGGAAAATACTACGACAGGCATTTCTTCTCTTTCCCCTTCTTCCAGGAATTTTTCTGATTACCCACAAATTCTTCTCCATAGAGACCAACAAGAGGCCAGAAAATTCCATTTCAAATGCAAATGAGATCAAGAATCTGTGCAGTTAATATACTCGCTCCAATCCTCTTACCTTTACCCCTCCTCTGCTACCACCTTGTCTGTTTCCCTGAAATTCCAGACACATGGGAAGTTTATTGAGCACCTGCAGCCTTAAATGCCAACTCTGCAGCCCCTCCTTTTTAACAATTTTTAAAAAAGGTTTGTTTATTTTTGAGAGAGAGAGAGCAAGCCAGGTAGGGGCAAAGAGAGAAGGAGACATAGAATCTGAAGCAGGCTCCAGGCTTCAGGCTCCAAGCTGTCAACACAGAGCCTGATGTGGGGCTCTAATTCATGAGCCATGAGATCATGACCTGAGCCTGAGTCGGATGCTTAACCGGCTGAGCCACCCAGGGGCCCCTAATCATGGCCTCTCCTTTTTAATAACGGAGGCAGAAATACTTAGAAAACACTGTTTATAACAGGAGTCCTCATAGCGCCACCTTCTTGAATTGCGCTTTGAAAAGGCAAGTGTCAATGCCAAATGGTGAAATTATTATACTTCACTTCCACCCACCACGTTTCCATTTTAATTTTATGAATATTGCAAATTATAACACTCACATTATAACCTCTGAAAGGGGTCATTTATAAAAGCAGTGTCCATCAACTATAAATTTTCCATGATGTTAATCAAATGGCAAGAACTAATTATGATGACTTCTAAGAAGAAGATGTGTAGGACAAACCATTAGGAGGAGGAAATGATATTTTTAGAAAACATAGCAGTTTCTAATTATGAGTGAAATGAGCTTAGGAAGATGGCTGCAGAAAGGCCATGAACCTGAGGAGCTCCACGGTCTCGGAGTACATGGTATACGGAGACTTGGCTTCCAGAGGGTCTCGCTCCATGGCGTTGCCGCATTCGGTGAAAGACAGGGCTGCATCGGCATAATTCACGGCTTTGCCAAATTTCTCAAACTGAAACAGGAAGATCACTCGTGAACACAATATTGCCTCTCTTCTCCCTCGTATAAAGGAGTGGGTCCCAACCTAGGGCAATTTTGCACCCCTCTTGCCGGGTAACATTTGGCAACATCTAGAGATATTTCTGGTCATGAGCACAAGGGACTAGTTGCCGCAGGCCAGAGAGACTGCCAAACATTCCCCAATGCACAGGACAGCCCCCATGGTGAAGAATTACCCCGCCCAACATGCCAATAATGCCAAGGCTGAGAAGCCCTAATGGAAAGGGGAGTCGATATATGACTTTGTAGCCACATGACACAGCTGATTTAAGGTTCTATTGTCATGACACTGAGGCTGGTTGGGAAGAGAAAAAGGCAGCCAAGGTAGCACGTGTGTTGCGGCGGTGTGATCATGTATTTGCGGTACTGTTATTGTCATTTTTTTTTAGTGGCCCAGAATGGAAATCACTGCCTTGGCTAGTTTCTCTGCACTGAATTGATGAGCCTACTCATGGCAGGGTCCTACGGACAGAGCTTGTGATGAACTCTGCTTTTGATAAGGCTCCTGGACCACATCCAGATACAGTCTGTGCTTGGAACTCTCTGTGAGCATGTGGACACCACCCCCAGGAGAAGGGCAACAACAAATTGATGCTATTGTCATGAAAAATGTGAGGCTTTAGTGAGACTGTTGACAATAATCACATCACTTTCATTGTAAATGATGGTCTGAAATAGTGTGTCAAAAAGCCAAAAAATATAGCACTACTAAATATTTTAGTTTAGTAAAATTTTATTGCAAAAGGTTTTAGCCCTGATAATGGTCATGATTAAACTGACTTAGACATACTGATTTCTTTTTTATGTGTAATGAATATTATATATGACACTTTTATAGTGAGTATTTTATAACAGTGTTTAATGTTTTCAATTTTTGATAGTGGGATGTAGGAATTCCACTAATATGGAATTTTATGGAAAAGAACCAATATAATGTAGATTTAGCTGTTTTAATTTTCTTGTATACCTTTTATCAAAATATTTTCTTGTGGCTGTGAAGGTTTCAATTCTCAAAATGGCAGAGAGGCTGTCTCTAGCAAAGGATTAAGTACAACCGCTTGTTGTAAATGACTCTCTTTATAATAAATGTTCTTCAGGTTTTAAATATTGCAGGAATTCTGTGCTTTCCTTACTGTAAGCTGTTGTGGAAAAATACTGGTTTCAACCAAATTCAAAGTGATTTTATGAAAACCTGTGTGTGTCTATGCAAATTGTCTCCTTCTTCTCTTCCCTTCCAAGATTATTTCCTTAGGTAATCCAACTCTGACTGACTCTCCCACGGGGAAATTAATCTTTACATCCTCAGTTTTCAAAGTGACTTTTCATTCACAAACCCATAGCTGGAAGGCTTCTTAAAGATCTCCTAGCCCAAACCTCTCTTTTTTCCCAGAGGAGAAACTGAAGTCCAGATGGAAATTACATGGCCATAGTGCCACTCAGTAGCTAGGCCACGCCTTCTTCTTGGGGTTCAGTTTCCCCAACCATAAAACGAGGGGCTTGAAATATAGAGGGGCTTCCAGCTCTGGCACAGATATAAGCCTAGCGAAGATATCTTCCTCTAAATGAGTGTTTCTCCACCCTTTTTCCATCATTACTATTTCGCCCCTGGCTACGGAGGAAAGTATTTCAGATATGTTTTTCACACAGCTCCACTGCAATTTCAATGCCAAAAATGTACTCATTATCTCTTTATGTACTGTTGCCTTGGGGGTCACATCCATTGCAATGTCTGACTTCTTTACTTTACCCCCCAAACTGGTTTTTGCCCCCATGCGGGGGATGAAATGTCCCCAAATGAAAATGCATTTTCTAAATGGCTTAGGCCAAGAGTGAGTTTGGGGGTACACAGAAACACGACACTGGAAGGTAACAGAGTGTTAGTGCTTAATCACATGCATGTATCTCTGTGGCTCTGATGCTTTTCAGTTCTTCTAAATCTCACCTACAAGATCTCCCATGCCCATCCCACTCGTCCTGAGCCCAGGGACCAGCTTGTCAAGAACGTTCATGTGCTCCCTTGCCCTGATTTTAACAGGGTCAACCTACGAGCACATCTGTGCTGCTGTGGAACTGAGGACATGCCTTACATATCAGTGGCCTCCCATACAATGGTAACAGGCAAAATCTCCCCAGCATCTCTGGTGGAGCTGGTACCCAGGCTGCTTTGTCTGTTTCATCTGCAGGAGCAGAGGACAATAGTTTTCAAAGGACGATTCACACCACAGAAAGGTTAGCTGTAGACAATACCTGAGCAATATGTACCATGGTGGGAAAAGGACAGGAAGTAGGGAAGCGACAGATGCAGCAAGTCACAGCGCAGAGACTGTCATGGTACTCTATCACAGCCCCGCCAGTGTCCAACACCGCAGGTCCGCTAAGTCCTGGATGGATGTGATGCCATGTTGGAGGATACTATTCTCTTTCAACATAACAGAGTTGAACTGATACCTCTAGTTATGCTGGGGTTCAGTCAGAGGTGAAGATCCTGAATTGAGGGCCTTCTCTAGGACAGTGGAGAGTGTTAACGCCCATGCCTGGGTCCCAGTCTCAGAACTTCTGATTCCATTTGTCTGGGGTATGGCTTGGGCATCAGGTTTGTTTTAAAGCTCCCTGAAGAATTGTAACATGTGATTGGGACCCCCTGTTAGGAGAAGTAATCAGGGCAACTCAACATGCTGAGCTCATCCTTGATCTAGGTGGCCAAGGCCCTTGAGGCAGCAGGGCCATGCGTCCTCAGAAATCCAGATGACAGAACTTCCCTTCTCTGTGTTGGGTCCTCACCTGGCTGTAGCCCTCACTCTGGAGACATGTCATCGAGGCAGCATGGGGCAGAGGTTTTTCTACAAACCTAGGTTTCCCAAAACCAATTTTTGAGGCCACTTACCTAGCTTTCCATAACCTTCTCTGTGCCACAATGGTCCTGATTTATCGGGACCAATGGGAGTTCCCACTTTCTCCAGGGCAGTTTCAAAAGTCATTTGAAAATTCACTCAAAAGACAACAATAGTATATGCCGTTTAGCTTCTGAAGTTAGGGCAAGGGGAGGAAGAACAAGAACATGGGTAATGGCAGGGCAACATGCTGCCAGGGACCTGGGAACTCTGCTGTGAGGAGTTAACCAGCCCCAATCTCCCTGTGTCAGACCAGCGAGGAAGTTTGACTTGTATGTAAAGTGACTTCTTGGTTCCCCTTCAAAGCATAATACCATAATGGGAGGCAAGCAACGAGAGGAAAAAACCTACCAGTGCATCAGCTTTGTGCTTTAGCTTCTTAGCCTCTTGCATGTAATAATCAGCATTGTGAACCCTAAACAAACAAAACGATCTCTTTCAGCAACCAAGGTTTCATCTTTTCACTGAAAAGCCTGATTGTTTCACTATAAATCCATTCCAGTACAATGCCCTCAAAGGGGTAGGTGAATGCTCTCCCTTCTATGACAACCAACCCTGAAATAACCCCAGAAGTGGAACATGAAGTGCATAATGTGCGTCAGGATAAATGACTGCCCCCTCCAACCCAGGCGTTCCATGGTCTGAAAATTCCACGGACCCAAAAGAACCTGGCTGCCTTTGGCACACTGTTCAATCTGAGGATATGGATAAGAAAGGGGACAAAGCAACCTAGAATTAAGCACCTGTCTTTGGAAATGGTAACAGAGCTCCATGATTAAAATGGGCCAACGAAATTTCTCAGTGGGGACAGAGCTGTGCATGGGGAGGAGGAGCTACTGCTAAGGTCCTAACTGTGGGTGACACGTGTAAGGTGCTAGAAAAGCCATACAGCCTCCACCCCCAATGCTATCTCTGTGATAATCGGGGGACAACATACGAGTCATCGAAAGTAAGCTTGGGACTCCGGACGTTGGTGGTGCTGCTGGACAGAAGGGGCAGGGCTGCCCAGGATGCCATCTCCAGGTGACTGCTGTCCATGAGGCCAGTAGTGATGGTAGAGGTGATGGTGGAGATGGTTGTGGTAGTGGTTGTGGTAGTGGCTGTGGCAGTGGCGGTCGCAGTGGCCGTGACAGTGGCGGTGACAATGGCAGTAGCAGTGACAGTGGCAGTGGCAATAGCAGTGTTGGTGACCGTGACAGTGGCAGAGGCTGTCTTTTTTGGAGTGTCTCCATCCTGAGAAAAAGGACAAAGAGTCACCATAAGGTCCAGCTTTTTAGACCATCTTTTCGTATGTACTTTGAATGTCAAGCACATTAGGAAACAAGAGAAAGGAAAACAATGCACACAGCTGGAGGATAAATAGGTGACCCTGGTATATCACCGGCTTTTGGTCTGTGATGACACCAACCACCAAGGTAGTCAAGTGCTGTGATTACATAAGCCCCGTCATCCCATGAAGACAGCCATTGGTATATCTGGTAGGAGAGGTGGGTGGGGAGAGGAGGAAGGGGGAAGGGAGGGAAAGAAAGATAGAGAGATGAGCAAGGAGAGAGAGGACTCAGCAAGAGTGGGTGCAAGGCTTGGAAAGCTTGTTAAAACACAGGCTGCTGGGCCTCATCCCCAAAGTTTCTCACTCAGGCTGTACAGGGTGGCCTGAAAATTTGCATTTCTCATAAGTTCCCAGGTGATGCTGATTCTGCTAGTCTGGGAGCCACACTGCTCTAATGAATCGTATTTGTAAATCAAATCACCTTTTCGTGCAATGAATAACCACTTCCTAATTTATCTATTTGTTGTATGTCAAGTTTACTGAAGCAAAGTATATAAAGTGTGTTGTGCTGGTAAACCAACCAAACAAACAAACATTAAAACAATTTAAAAAAAGAATTTTTGCATTTATGTTGATGATGGAGTTAGGTCTGTAGTTTCCTTTTCTTGTAATGTCTTTGTCTGGACTGAGTGTTAGGATAATGATGGCCCTCATAGAATATTGGCAAATATTCCTTCCTCTCCATTTTTCTGAGAAAAGTTTGTATAGAATTGGTATTACTTAATCCTTAAATATTTGAAATAATGTACCAGTGAAGCAATTTTGCTCACAGGTATCTTTGTGGGAAGATTTTAAATTACAATTTCAACTTATTTAATAAAGTAAGGCTATACTGGTTAAAAAAAAAAAAGGTGAGAGAGAGAAGAGACAAAGAAAGAGAGAGAGAGAGATTGAGAGAGAGAGAGAGAGAGATTGAGAGAGAGAGAGAGAGGTGAACCTGATATGTATACTTCTAATAAGGGAACAGCTCAGAACTTTCACTAGGGTAAATAAGATACCCCAGTCACTGCAAAATACCAAATCCAGTGCAGCAAATAGCAGCACACCAGGCCTTGTATCCTGGGACCAAGGCTGAATCTGCCCTTTTGTTCCTGAGGTCTTGACTGATATCTGTGTCTATGTCACCTGAGGGCCTCCAGGATAGTGAAAGCTCCTCTTGACCAGATCAAAAACCAAATGGGTAAGAGACTTTGGGGCTTCACTCTGAACTGTCATTGCCCACAGAAAGAGTGGGATCCAGAGGAAGAAAATAGGTGGCAAGATTTGTAATCCTGTGACAGTATGTGTCATGAGACCACGTGCCCTGTTCACATGGTAGACTCTGCCCTCTCTCCTTGGCAATGGTGAGATGATCCTGACTCTTCTATTTCTGGCTATGCTTTGCCATGGGACCTCTTCCTCTGTCTGGTCTTCTGAGTTGGTATCTCCCTAAAGTTGGTATCTCCCAAGGATCATTCCTTAGGTCTCTTCTTTCTTGACTTTGGCAGGATTTGCCAGTCGTGTATGTACTGGCACAGACTTGACAACACGCAGACCACTGCCAAGTGGAAACCTCGATCTTTCTCTCTAGAGCTCTAGACCTGCAGTGATCACCTCTGAGTCATTACCACCAAGATGGTCCATTAGTACCTCAAATTGCTCTGAAACCAAATTGATAACCAAATCCATCCCCTCTTTCTGTTAATGGCAGGATGGTCTTCCCTGTTACCAAGGCTGGATTTCTCCATGTCAGTAAGGGCACCGTGGGCATCCCTGGGGTAGGAACACGGGAACCAGAGTCTCCTGACCTTGCCTTCCATCTGAGCTGCTCTGCTCAGTCAGCTTTATATATCTAAGTTCTGTAAATTCTTTCATTTCAAAAAATGATAATGTTCCTAAAACTCTTTTTGAAAAGACCTTCAAAATAAAATGAATTTCACAGCTGTATTTCATCTTTAATTTCTTCCTCTTTATTACCCTTATCCAATCAATCACAAAGTCCTATTCATTCCATCTCCCCAACGTTTCTCAAATCTGTCCCTTCCTCCTCTGAAGCCTGTAGCTTCTGACTAAGACCATCAGCCTCCTGGCTGGACCCCTGACCTCTGAGCTAGCCTCTCCAATCCACTCTCAATCTGCTGCTGGCCAGCAGATTTCACTGCCTTGCATCCAAATGCAAACCCAGGGCTGAGCTCCTTTGCTGGCATGTAAGGTCCTCCCAGATCTGGCTTCAGCTTTCCACTTCATCTCCCACTACTCATTCCCATGGACCTTCCACCAGACTCAACACACCTCACTTTCTTCACTGTCTTGCTTTGGTTCATGCGTAGTTTTAGTTGAAAGTACCTTCCCTTTATTACCTTTTTTTTTTTTTTTGCCTTGTGATAACTTACTTTTTAATTTGAAGAAATTATGGTAAATGGGGGAAATAGTGGGGGAGAGGGAGAAAGGCAAACCATGAAAGACTCTTGAATACTGAGAACAAACTGAGGACTGATGGGTGTTGGAGGGGGAGCGGGGAGATGTGCATGGACGAAGGCACTTGTTGGGATGAGCCCTGGGTGTTATATGGAAACCAAGTTGACAATAAACTATTTGTAAAAAATTTAAAAAAAGAAACATAAAAAAAGAAATTATGGTAAAACACATATGACTGGCTTATTTTACCTAGCATAAAGTCCTCAAGGCTCATCCCTGTTGTAGCACGCGTCAGAATTTCCTTCCCTTTTAAGGCTGAATAATATTCCGTTGTATGGACAGATCCCATTTTGTTTATCCACGTCCTTCATTTCTAAACCGTATTCATCTATTAAGGCCCAGCTCAACAAATGCCTTCTCCTCCAAGAAAACGGCCTTCTGTCTATAGTCAGAAGTGCGTTAATCCTCCTTGGCCCCTTTAGAGATCTGAAGTCTGTCTCAGTCCCTTCTCTATGACACCAATCACCATATCCACTTTATATTCTAACTCTTGGAGCACATGTTTCATTGCTTCCCTTATATTGAGAGCTCTCTGAACACTGGAGCCATCTCTGATTTATGACATGGCTACCGTACCCCATGCCCCCTGCCCCACAGCCTTGTACTCCCAGTAATTTGCTGAGTGCATGAATGCATACCTGCCTTAGTCAAAAGGTCACCTTAAAAATAGAAGCCAGGGCACCTGGGTGGCTCAGTCGGTTAAGCATCCGAGTTCAGCTCAGGTCATGATCTCATAGTTTGTGAGTTTGAGCCATGCATCAGGCTCGCTGCTGTCAGCTCAGAGCCTGCTTTGGATCCTCTACCTCCCTCTTTCTCTGCATCTCTCTCTCTCTCTTTCTGTCTCTCAAGAATTAAAAAAAAAAATTAAAAGTGGAAGCCAGTTGGGAACATTTCTTATGTCCATGAAAATTTATCTTTTCCACTTGATCCAGGATCTTCTGATTATCAAAAATTCTTATCGCCAAGAGCTCACTGAGATGAATTTAATGAGGGGCTACACATCTAAAAATTGTTATGATGGATAGGGAGAAAATAGTTGACAAATCATTATGGATTTTATTCAACCCAAACACATAAAAAAATCAGAGCCTTCTAAAACTCCTAAGCCAACTCCATGTTTCTACTGCCAAAGCCAGATGGCCCAGACCAAACAGTGGAGTCAGCCCAAGATGGTCCCACTTGTCTCTATGGCCGAGATATGTGACAAGAACTCTGAAGCACCACATCCAACTGCACACATGGCATTGATGTCAGTCCTGGCACATCAGACTGGAAATGGCTTCATTCAGCCATGATCATGTAAGTAAGTTACATAAACATGTCCTCTGTCCACACTCAGGCATCCACTGACTCAATAAATAAGCCTTCATGCAAATGTGGAATACAGAAGATGCTGAGAGCATAATACTGAAAACATGTTGGGAGCTGGAAGAAGCCTTATAGATCATCTAGTCAAATTCACTCATTTTATGGACTCTAGAGGTTTCATAATTTGCCCAAGGCCACAGAAAACCCACTGCAGTTTTAGCACTATGAACCAAGTATTTTAACTCCTAGGCTAGGGCAAAAATATACTAGTCTTCTGGCTTTCCAGCCATTCACAAAGAGAAAGAATGACCAAAGAAGAGGCAATAGGTGGTTAGTCGTGGGAGACTATCATGGGAGACTCCAGTGATTTCCTTAAGAAGGACAATCCATTTCTGGGTGCAGATGTAACCATATTTATCAGGTTTCCCTAGAAGCTTTTAGCTCTTGTGGAAATGACTTTGCAGATTCTTGTAAGCGTTACCATTGTCATAACCACAGCTGTATCAAGCACCTAATTCTTTGTGCCGACATACCAGGCCCTGTACAAAGACAATTGCCTAGTATGGTGTATGCCCTCCCAATGCTTGCAGTACAGAAGAGCGCCAGTTGGAGTTTACAATATTAATTACATCTGGTGTGAAAAATAGGATTGATAGTATAATTCTTGTTTAGACTAGATAGTTTATTTCTAACAAAGTCAGCATTTTAAAATGTGAATGCAAATACTATGTTGGCACACACATATACATGCACAAATTTCATATGGAAAAGGACTATTTCATAAGGAACAATTTCCCTATACTGGTGATGAAATTTGCATAGATATGTATGCCATGCCAGCCATATCAGATGATGGAGGACTTTACATAGGGGTCCTTCAAGCTCAGAGGCCTCATGGCTTTTCGTGGGAGTGGTAAATGAGCACTTTGGTTCAGGGCCCACCACACTGGCATCAAGACATTCGAACGATCATTGATTTTCACATAACTGTTTTTTTTTATATTATGCTTAAAGGAGACTAGATGCATATGGATGCTACATCTGCAAATACATGGAAAAGCAAATGCATTGGTCGTTAATATTCACTGGTAACACTATTGCTCATGGCTTCTGCACTTCAGGTACCTGTACCTGAGACAGATGGAAAGACTGGGTGGATGTGCAAAGTGATACAGAGTCTCAAATTTCTATGCTAATGGAGCAGCCATGCAGGAAATCCAAAGGGCTGGATAATCCTTTAGCTGGGTTTAGAACCACAATTGTGTGATTTTTAGCAACAGATACATCTTTTAAATTCCATCCTTGACAGCCACTATTTTAAGCATAATTCACATGTGCTAAGCTGGGTGGTGGAAAGATGTAACTGGGGGTTCCAGCTCCAGTTCAGTGATCTTGGGCAATCCCACCTCATCCATGTGTTCGCTAAATGATCGGCACCTACCATGTGCCAGATGCTGTGATCAGTATTTTGGAAGCTTCCCCACTGCCAAGACATGAAAGCACTTGACCAAATGATATACAAGGCCCTGAGTCTCTGCATAATAAGCTGTTTGGTTAAGTAAGACTGGAATGAAAAATTCATCCTATGTTAGAATAATCAAGATTTGAAATAATGGGGAGTTTGCGTATTTCTGCACACACATTTGTATCTTCTGTCTGCCTCTTCTGCCCAACCCCCTGTGGTCCCTTCCACTTAGATAAGCTGGGTCAACTTGTTTCTGCCTGATGATTATAATATTTATTCCAAGATGCTTACATTTACGGATATCCCTTTGAAAGTAGCACAGAATTTGCCTTCACTCCTCTTAGGTTTGGTAGATGTGATCTGTCCAATCAGAGGGATGTTTTTGTCTTGACTGAAGGGACCATTGGTGCCACTGATGTTTCTGCGGCGTGGAGGATCCTCTGGCAGTGGAGAAAGTGGCGGAGGAAACAGCTTTTCTTCTTTCCTTCTATTTGCTCTCCTGGATGAATTGTTTCTGTATAAACAAAAAGTGTAGGGTGTCATAAAATTTTGTCTCTCTATTATGGCTTTTCCCATGATGCTGGTACTTTCAACGTAAGTGATATTTTAGCTGATGGTCTTTTGCCTATGGCGAAGAGTATAAATATAAAAATGCACATAGACGTAGATATCTATAGAGAGATATAATTATAAATAAATGAAAATGTATGTATCCAAGAATGAACACATGTCTTTGAAGCAGAACTCCATGAAAAATGTAAATGTCTAAGGGTGCTACAGTGTGATATTTGCAACCTTTCAAGATTCCTCTTAATTAGATTTTTATGGAAAATCCAATGCAGACTTTAATCCCGTCATTTTTTAGGATGGTTCCCTACTTATTTTGCCCCAGGACTTAACTGCATAATCACACAATGAATGGTACAATAAACAATTAGTGGGGGGATATTTTCTTAAGAAATAGTATGCTTGTACATTACTTAGCTATCAATAACACACTAAATACTTTTGTGATATACTGCACACTGTACTTTCAAAATGTTCTATGCCCACGCTGAGGTGTAAGAAGCTCCTGACCTCAAGCTGTTATACCAGAGAGTACTGATGTGCTCCACTTTACAGAACCCATTTGAAACCTATTTTGTTATATCGCCACAAGATATCTGTAGTTCTAGAAGTACTCCTGTGCTTTCAGACTGATTTATCTGCCCATTAAATGGGCATCATCCAATAGACAGAGACTTCAAATAAAACAGAACAACTAAAACCTTATGCTAGCTGCTTAACATGGTAATTGGGTCATGGATTTTCATTTTAGTTACTGTCTTAGCCTAATCAATGAAGATTACTTGAATTTTAATCTTTTCTTAGACAACTAATATTGCACTGTGCAGCCATTTACTTTCCATGATTATTGACTACAATTTTCAATAGCAAATTAAGTCAACGAGAATTTATGTTTTCCTCTTGGTCAATTTCAGTCAGTGTCTAGAAATATAGATTTACAATATCTCAAGGCAACAAATCAAAGATGAACAAGCATTCAAGTGGTTTGATTTCCTGCAATGGTAGCAGTCAATGCAGTCTGCTCGTTCCACTTCCACTGTGTTGCCCACATTTGCCAACTGTAATAATATTTGCCATCTTCTCCATCTTTTGTTTCATAAATGTGGCCCTGTGTCAATTTTTGTCAAGCAGCAACATTTCTAAAAACATAACTGCTTCTGCCATTACATCAATTAGTCAAAATGAACTAAAAAAGATTTGCCAGCAGATTTAAAAAATTGCTTCGATGTGGAGAACCATTTTCAGATAGCTGTGATGCCTGATTAAAACAATGGTGAACATATGGATTCAGACACCTGTGCACGAGGAAGCACCACAAACATCAGGCCACGCTAAGTGTAACCATCATGGAGGTATTGGACTTTCAGGTATTATGTGTGGAGGTATGTTAAGCATTGCCATGGCATCTATGAGAGGTGAATGGTTCATTAGCCATGGCCACTCCTCTGCTACTTGAGCTGCCTGAGAAGGCAGTGAGGACTTCAAGGGGCAAAGCTATTCCCTAGAGGCATTGGATTTGCCATTAGCTACTACAGTTGGGCTAGGCCTTCCCATCTGCCACTGGACTCAGGTTGCTGCACACAGTCCAGCGCATTCTGTGTCGTGGACAATGGTCACCTGGGCCCCTTTCCATCCATTTGCTAGTGAGCTGGAACCATGGGGCTTTTAATAACTTCCTTGGTGAAGGATACCCAGGGAGCATGTTCTAGAAATCACTCTGTCACCATTATGGCATCTTACTATGAGAACAGTTTTTGATACTATGGGCACGTCTTGGTGTAGGCCAGAGAAGGACAGCAGACAAAAGAAGTGTGTCCCCACCACCACTCAATGCTTCAGAGGCCCTGCTGATGGTTCAACCTCCTGAGGAGGTGTGGGGTGCGGGTGGGGCTCTGCAGAGCCCTCCTGCTGGATGACAGGAACCACAGCTGTCATGGCCTGGTGTGGCAGTCTTGGCTAAGTTTAGAACATTCATTTAGAAAAGTGAATGTTGTCGGGGCACCTGGGTGGCTCAGTCGGTTGGGCGTCTGACTTTGGCTCAGGTCATGATCTCACTGTTTGTGGGTTTGAGCCCCGCGTCGGGCTCTGTGCTGACAGCTCAGAGCCTGCAGCCTGTTTCGGATTCTGTGTCTTCCTCTCTCTCTGACCCTCCCTTGCTCATGCTGTCTCTCTGTCTCTCAGAAATATATTAAAAACATTAAAAAAAAAAAAAAAGAAAAGTGAATGTTGTCTCATAGAAATTTCCAAGGACTGGGTTTGGAGGGTCGGCAAGGCACAAGGAACAGATGGAGCAGATTTGGATTTGTTTGATGAGCCTAAGAACCTTAGGCCCTTTATGAATGATAAATGCTACTAGGTAAACACTGCATTCCTAACGACTACAAACGCGGAAAGATCATAAAGACCATGAGTTAGAAACACCATTTTATGAAGAACAAATTCAAATTATTGGACATTTACTGAATAGTTGGTCATCAATCTTGCACGAGATGGGAGAAATATCAGGTCACTGGGCTGCTTAGGGAGACTGGCATTGGAGACTGACGGTTGTGGGAATGCCTCCTGCCTTTTCCTTGAGCCTTCAAGGAGCCTGAACTGGTCAAAGTCTGGGAACTGGGAAGGTAGTGCCATCCAGCGACGCCATTTTAGTCTGTCCCCCAGGAAAGGAGGAGGGCCATGGAAGGACCATCTTTGACCACTGGGGAAGAAGCATGCTTCCCCACAGGCCTGGCTCACTCTGAGGTGAAGGGCTCAGCTTGCCCCATTGGAGGGGCCGTTAGTTCTGAGAAATGCCAAATATGCAACGGGGTGTTTTGGAGCAAAGTTATACCCGGGATACACAGGCACCATACAAAGCGCTACGGAGCCTCTGGGAAAGGGGCAGCTTGGGGCCCAAATCTCCTTATTATACCAACTGTGTAGAGTGGTAATTGGCTTTTTCCAACCTCTCCTCTCAAAACAATAAGGATCTAAACAAATGTAAGCTGCAAACTTATTTCCAACATCTTATGTGTGGCAGATTGATGCCATATCACTGATGTTAAACAGTAATCTGTGAAATCAATTGTTAGCAGCAGTTAGCCAGATTGCCTCTCTACTCTGGGCTGCTAATAGGCTCCAAAACTGGTCTTTGATGGAAGTAATCTCTAATGTTGAATGAATTTATGGCAATAATTATCCAGACGGAATGGTTCCAGTAGCCGACGTGACTGTTAGTTAAGTGATATTTATAAGATGGAAGAATTTGGTCACAATGCTTGGTAGCAACAGGAGGCAGAACTTGTTCTGGGAAAGCTGGGGCCATCTGGGTGGGGAGGGGACAAGGGGGCCTTGTGCCTGACTCTGGCCATTTGTGCAAAGAGGGAGAGGTGGAAGGGGCACCAGCCCGTTGGAACATATGTATCCACAGCTGGCTTTCCCTGACACACAGCTGCCCAGGAGGAGGTCAGCTCCCACGTGTCCCTCATCTCTCTGGCCTCCTCAAACGTGTCATGGTTCTGGCCTCTGAGGAGTTCAGGAGGTACCTACTAGTCCTCAAGCTCTCTATTCAGGTTAAGTAATGGCACCAGGGAGGAAGCAGCAGCTGGGCATCCTCTTAAGGCCAAGGGGTTGTTTTCATCATTATCAAAACTGGAGGTTGCCCAGAAGCAGGTGATCTGCTTCAAGTGATGGGTGCTTCTTGATACTGTCCCTTTTTAATTCATTTACTCCTTTTACTCTTCCCTTGGTGCTGAAAAGTTCACTTTGGTCCTCCATGTGAGCTGGAGTAAAGAAACATGCCTAGAGGGGCGCCTGGGTGGCTCATTCAGTTAAGCGTCCGACTTTGGCTCAGGTCATGATCTCATGGTTTGTGGGTTCGAGCCCTGTGTCGGTCTCTGTGCTGACAGCTCAGAGCCTGGAGCCTGCTTCAGATTCTGTGTCTCCCTCTCTCTGACCCTCCCTGCTCACGCTGTCTCTCTCTCTCAGAAATAAATAAAAAACATTAAAAAATTTTTTAAAAAAAGAAAAAGAAACATCCCTAGAAAGCTCATGGAATCTCCCTGAATGTGGAGCCTGTATTCCACCCTCTATCACACCGTTGTTAGTGCAGTGGCCAGGGACACCTATCAGGACTGGACTGAGCGACTTCTGTTTTCCTACTTACTATCCATCTGAAACAGGACCCCTGTCCCCACCCCCCACCCCCCAAAAAAGTCTTCAGTAGACGTTTCTGAAGAATCTGAACAATCAAGGTGGCAAACGAAGACAGGGCAAGACACTCACTCTTTAGTGTTGGGAGGCTTGTGGGGTGGGGCTGGTGAGATGCAAGGGGGCAGCAGGCAGATAGCTGCAGCCTCCTCCAGACGTGGCTTCTTCTCGGGGATTTTCTCTGCAATTTCCGTTGGCTTTAATGGGAAGAAAAACACAGTGTTTGAAATACGTGGCACATACAGACATTTAAGAAGCATGAGCGAGGGAGACAGTTTGCTTCTATTTTAACTTCTAGATTAGCCAGGGGAGTTAAACGCACATCTCTGATCCGAAAGAAAAGCAATCAGCCTTGCCCAGCTTACTCCTACCAAATAGTTGGCATTTGAGAGAGTCGAGCTATGACGTGACCCTCTGATTAAAGACTGAGTGGCACAGGTACTCTCCTACCAAAAGCAAAGAGAATCTATAATTTTCAGACTCTTCTCCCATCAACAATGTCCCCACAGAGAAGTCGCATAGAAATTAATATCACAACTCCATCATGGCATGAAGCTGTCCAAGCAGCATGGGGACTGTGGGTAACACATCAATGTCACTCATACCATCAACAACATGCAAGGCCATAGGGCATGTGCAGGACATGCCTGGGCATGTGCTGTCTCTGAAGGTGTGTGCTTGCCCCTGGCTGCACTGCCATCATCCATAAGAGTGGGGAAACGGTGACAGGACAAGAGTCCCCAGACTTTCTATGACAGCCATTAAAAGTAATATTACCCAGATATCGCCATGAGATGATGTTACTCTAAAAAACTACCCTGAGATCTGGGGATACAACAGAATGAGCTTATTAGATACAAATTCACTTGCCTAGAGCTATTTGAAATGGAAAGAGGCCATTTTGGGTTTTCCCTTTGGATGATAGATTTTTTTTAGAGTAATTTCTATACCCAACGTGGGGCTTGAACTCATGATTAAGAGTTGCATGCTCTACTGGCTGAGACAGCCAGGCATCCCTCTCCTTCTGATGATAGTTTGTAGGACTGGAATTCAGCCCTAACCTCTCACAGGTGAGGTTTCCTCAAGTCAGGCCAACCACACAGGTGAGGGGACCCAGTGGGCTGGGCAGACTGTGTATCTGCTAGGAACCAGGGTAATCAAAGTATCACCCAGGTGCAGGGATACTGATGCGTGTCTGGGGAAATTCACAGAGGACGCATTTTTGGCCTTAGGAGCACTTGGGTGCCCTGCTGCTGCCAGGGTGGGGACTGTGGGGTGTGGACATGTGAGTCCATGAAAGCAGGCGCTATTTAAGGAGCGCATCCCAGGGATTGGCTGCCTGGGGCAAGGCAACGCCCTTCATAGTCTTCTTTCCTATACATCATAATCCCTTTTGTGCCATATGTGTTACTCTTCATACTGGCTGCCAAACTCCATACGATTCCTAACACTTCCTCCCTGGTCATGTCAAATACTGCACTTCCCATGGAAAGCATTATTGCCTTCCCCAAAGACTGCAATCCGCTGCCATGAGCCTCCTTGCGAATGAGACTCAATATCAAGTTCGCCAACAGACAGCCACTGCTCATGGTCACTCGGCAGGCCACTGAGGACAGCTTACCTTGTGCTTACGCTTGCCCTTAGGGGCAGGTTTTTCCACAGTCGCAGCAGCGATCTGGCGCTTGGGCTTCGATGCAGTCTCCTTGTGGTCTGGCTTGGCTGGTGCTGTTTGCAGCGTGTTGTGACCGGGTACTCTAGACAGCAGGTCAAGGTCAATCTTCACCCAGAGATTTTTCAGGTTCTCGTGATCTCGTAGAGGGGACAGAAGCTCGGTTTGCATGACAGGGATAGGTGAAAAAGCTGGTTCCTCACTATTGATGGATATGTTGCTGCTGCTGCTGACCAAGGTGCTGAGGGTCAGGCTGGTGCCACAGGTTTCCTTTGATTTGGCAGAATTGCCCCCGGGAGCAATGCAAGGAGGCAGGACTTTGATCTGCAGGGTCTCTTCCTGATCGGTGTTGGAATCAGATGTAGACGAATCCGTTTCGATGAATTCCCGGGACTTTGGCACGATCTTGCCAGGCCCTCTGTACTTCTTTTTCTCGGCGGCCAAGGGAATGTTTGGCCTTGGTTCCTTCCTAGGGACTGGTTTGTGGGCAGTGGCTTTGTTGCGGCCTCTTGGGGGGTCAGGAAGCTCCATGCTTTCTTTTTCTTTGGGGGTGCTGCTGGTAATATTTGGTTTGGGCCAGGTAAACTCGTCAATGCTGGTGTTCTTCTCGACTTTTTTGGGCTGTTTTTTTCCAATTGTCCTTTGAGAAGCTGTCTCAATAGTAGTTGGCAACTTATGCTTCAAAGCCTTTGTTTCTGGAGTTTTCTGGGTAGGCCGTGGACGGGCTTTCTCCCTGATAAGACTGAGGAGAGGCCTCTCTTTGGGTTCAGCCAGGACCTGGCTGGGGTTTGTCTTCACTTTGATCTGGACTTCCATCGGCTGGATGATTGGAGGAGGCACAGACACCGTCTCCATGGGCGTTTCATTTTGGCCACAAATAAACGACTTGTTTTGGGATGTCACTTTGTTAAGCCATTTATCCAGCTGCCACTTGTTGGTTGAGGGCGGCTCAGGCTGTGGATGAGAAGCAACAGCAAGAAAGAATTTCACCTCTTTGAAGAATCTAGAAGGACCTCCAGTACAACAAGTGCTGATAGGAGATGTGCATGTTAAGTGCCCTTTCACACATTTAGAAACACACCCAGAATCCAAATTAATCAAATTATCCAGATAGACAAATACCCTACAGCCCAGCCCCGATCTGCTTATTTCAACAAAATTCTACTCCTCTTCTGAAAACATTCTCCACTCTGGCGAGGAAGGAAAGAATTCTTCACAGAGGGCTTTTCCAGGGAAAAGGGAGGCCTGGAAGGGAAAACTGTTCCCTAAATCCTTTGGTGGGACTCATTGCCCAACCGCTCACCAGGAGGCAGAGGTAATGATCTCGGGTCCTGAAGAGCCATGCATGTGTGCCTCACATGTAATTCAAAAGGAAAGGCTTCCTTTCTGCCAAAGTGCCAGTGCCTCCTATATGATGCTGTAATTCACTGCAAAAAGAACAAGCCTTTTCTATTTTTACTGAAGGATGAAAAGATCTGACTTCCAAAAACCCACTGCATTTTCCTCAGCATATGGGCAATAACCAATTTATGGGGACATGCATGCAGACATTAGTGTCCGCTGTTAAGCCATGGAAATGATGCGTACAATTCAGGTGCTTGATTCCTAAATCTGAATTCTGCCTGTTGAACTAAAAGAGCCATCATTTTTATTAGAACTGCTCTTCTTTTGAAAACCATCAGCTGAGGCTTATGGCACCAGCCAACAGTGGGTGACAGAATTAAAAACACTTGAGTAGTTGGGATACCAACCCGCACAGGGCAATGGCAGGGAAGGGTCGAGGAAACTGTATTGGCTGCCACTGTTGATGGTTCTCAACCTCTCAGAACTTTATTCTCTAATCTATAAAATGGGGGTAGGGATAGCGAGGACCCCATAGAATTGTTCTGAATATAACATGAGAAAGGGCAGGTCAAGGGCTTCTCATGGTGCCTGGCACTTGGTCCATGTTCTGATTATTACAAACAAGTGTCTACAGAGCCCTGGATGTATCTGCTTGCTGTATGAGGTGCAGGCTTGGGGGAGCTGAGGGGTTATTCTGACTCAGAGAGGAAGGGAGGGGAAGGGTACATTTTTTTTATTTTGAAAGTATAATTTTGGTATTTTATGGAGCTGTGTTAAATGTGTTCATGAATTATTATCAAACACACTTGGAGGATGCAAATTGAAATTTAAAAAAACCCGTCACATGTCTTGAGTCTTACTTGCCAAGTGGCAATTCAGCACTTCAGCCTGGAGTAAGAGATAGTGTCCCCAGGGTCAGAAGTGGGTGTTGACTGGTTCTCTCAAAAGAGAAGTTGCTAGCCCAGGCATCACTATTCTAGGTTTTACACGTGATGAAGCTTGAGGCTCAAAGGAGCTAAATGAGTGCCAGGGCAAGAAATGTCTATCTTTAAGGGGCTGTACAAATCCATGTTTTCGAGGGGAAAAAATGATGTCAAATACCCAAATACTTTCCTGAAGTGTTCACTGTGCTGACAGTGTGTGTCTGTGTGCGCACGCACGTGTATATGTGTGTGTGTACACGTGTGCATGTGCACGTGCCCTGGGAGTGCCGCCTGGGTGACAGTGCTTCACTCACCTCTGGAGTGGCTGCACGAGGTGCCTCATTGGACTCGCTGTCAGTGGTGCTGCTTTCAGTGTCTGAGTCTGACTCGGAGCTGCTCTCAGAGTCACTGGAGCTGCCAGATCCCCCGCTGGCTTGCACTGCAGGCGGGGGCTGAGGAGTGGCCAAGAGTGGGCTGAAAGAAAAATGACATCATCCATTGCCTCATGTAATCTCGAGTCAGCAGGCAAAGAGCACCCCAGCAGCCACGTTCAGCATAAGGACCAATGATCTGCTGAATACAGGCAGAATGGAGCATGCCATCCCATTCTATAGATGGGAAATGGGAGGGTCGGGAGGCCTGGTGAGCGGCTAAAGGTCAAACGTGTGGCTAAGTTCCTAGTGTTCTGTCACACTGCATTCCTAGTCAGGAAAGTCTTGCCTTCTGCATTCCATGTGAAAACTTTAAATCAAGGTTGCATGCCTTCCCGATACAGATACAGATACCACATGCCATACACAGCCTTACATTCTTAACTGTCCCATGCTTTTTTTAGTTGAGATAGTTTTTCACTTTTGGGTGCCATCTTGTTCAGAAACCCAGAGGTCTGTCAAGGAGCTGTCATCTCAGTTATACACAGTATAGTTCTCTCATCGAGGATGGGTGAATTCGACCCCCATTTGAATCAGAGGAAACTGAAGTCCCAAGGGAGGAAGGCTTGCCTCTGCCCCCCAGCTAGTTGGAGAAGTAAGGGGAGAACAGCAGAGGCTCTGGGAAGCATATTCCCTGTGGGGTGCCCAGCACCCAGCACCAAGGTGACCAGAGTCACATTTCTTGGCTGCCTTCATCCTAAGTTTTGTAAACTCTTTTATAAAACTCTTACTCGGAGGTATGATCATAAAGGACTGAACAAGTCTAATGATGGATTTCAAATGTGTAAAGCTGAGCAAGCAAAGCATGTGAAAATTGATACCGTTTGCCACTCAGCCTTTAATGATAATCAGTCCTTTTCCTTACTAATTGTTTGCTCTCTGTGCCCATAACAAATCACCCTCCACTGCCTCTTGGCATGTTGGGCTATGTCATTGTCCCCTGCCCTTGGGCTCAGTGTCAGAAGTGGGGCTCCAACCTCAGGGAGCGGAAAGGGCTCTCATCTCCCCATCTCATGAGCCCAATACCCTCTTTGGAGGGAAGTTTAATCATGGTGAGGCCAGGGCCGGGGGCCAGAGCATGGTCCCTGCTGAACCCGCGGGCCGGCCCACGTATCTGCTAAGGACACACTGCCGCTGATGCTCCCAGCTCCCGGCCTGGCTCCCCCTCTCAGCTCAGTCAGGAGAGTCCAGCCCTAGTTCCGGAGGGCATCTCGTCCTGTGGTCCCTCCTTCAAACTGTAGCAAGAAGGACCTCAAGGACCCCTTTGCCGAAGACTCTGGGAGCACAAAGCATTGTTCCTTGGCGGGCCCCATCCGCCCCCCTCAGCAGTGTCTATTTTTTCCTCCAACATGAGAGCTCCTGCCTGCTGAGTTGGAGCCATTACTCAGCTGCTGCTTGGGAAGGAACAGGATCCCTTTTAAGCCAGCATGGGCCCCTTGTCAGTCACTATCCAGTGCAGAGAGCCTTTACATTCCATGTGCCTGGCTTCCCTAAAGACTGCCCCTTTAATCTCCCAGGTAGGTATTTTCTTTCATATAGCAAAGCTCATTTTAAAATGCTATCTGCTAAGTAAATGCTATCCGAAAGTACATTTCTCTGCCAAATACACCAAGAGATTAAGGGAAGCAGAGGAAATAGGGGACTGTATCCCCTGGGAAGGTGCATGCACGTATGTGTGTATGTGTGTGCGTGTGTGCCTGTATGTGTCCCGGACAGCAGGGATGGGGCCCTACAACTCTCCTTAAAGGCAGTAAAAACTATATTTATGCAAAGCACCCTCTAAATGTAATCAATTGTTTTTGTCTTTGGTTACTAAATAAAGACTGAGGGAACATATCTAATGAGACCAATCCAGACGTTATGCTAACTTGGTCTCAATTCTCCCCAAGTACAGTTTTAAGTCCAGCATGGAGCATCCGCTGGCCTGAGCTGACTGGCTGCTGGACTGCAATAAAGTCGAACTCATACTTATGGTTTTCAGGTGAAAGTGGCTGCCTAGTTTTCTTTCATATCTGTGCATTCATTTCTGCCTTCTCATAAGACTCAGGTCATCCTAGTATTACCAAACTCGACTCTAGATTTACTTTGGAATATTTCTGGATAGTGTTTCCACTTACTGGATTATTTTTGAGCAACTGCTTTAAGAAACAAAACAATCTCAGGGATTATTCCCGTATAACTGGATGCACTGAGGTGATACACATAAGGCACAGATGTCTTATTTGCCAGAATTAACTTATTCATTACATCACAGTAAAGCTTCACAGACTTAGTTTGAAACTTGTATGTATGCATTTGTACACAGGTGTTCGTTATCCAAAGCACTTTGAAGGGGAGAAGAATTTTGATGTTCAGATTTTTAAAATTTTACATGAATATACCATATATACCAGATATATATGTATATATGTATAGTGTGTGTTTACATATATATACACATATGTATATGGTATATGTATATGTGTGTGTGTGTGTGTGTGTGTGTGTGTGTGTATAAAATATGTCAAGTGGGATCTGGGGAAGTACCCTTTCATAAATCTCAAAAACTCATTAATATTGCTACAGTAACATTACCAGTTAAGAGGAATAAAAACTTTAAATAAATAGCTGCACATCAGTTGAGGTCGGGTTCTGTCATGAAATGAGTTTGTCTCAAAGTTACTGAAAATGACAGCTCTCAGGACTTTATCAATTTCTGAATTTTGATTAAGGGATTGTGGATGTGGACAGAAACCACATATGAAAAACTGACTCTAACTATATGTAAAAATAAGTATAGATAGATATAGACTTGAAATAAAGACTATTTGAAACCTCAGAGTGACCTTGACTGGGACCCAATAAAATGAGACTTGAAATTATTTTCCCTAAGACTTCTTACAGCTAAATCTATTGCTGTGTTCTCAGGAAGGACTCCACGGCCAGTCACTATTGACAATGACCCCTTAAGGGAAAGTAGTGTAGAAAGAAAAGGAATAGATTCATCAGCTTTTCAGATCCACACTGATGAACATGGATACTAGGGAGCGAGAGGGAAGGTGGACTTGAATTCAGAAAGGACACAAAGAGAACTCAAACTGGGGGTGAAGGACTTGAGCATCTTAATGAGAAAGAATTGCTTTCTCTGGGCAGTTGCACAGTTGGAAATAGGGAGAGCCAGTCTGTGGGAGGGAATAACAGTTGTTTAAAATGGAAGCAAAACTGTTCTCTCCAGTACCTTCCTATGCCTCTATTATAAATCTGCTGTTCCTGGGCTTGCTGGAGAATCTGGCTGTATCCAGTGTGCTGAGGAATGTAAACCACATATTTGAGTCTGTCTGACCCTCACTTCCTCTGGGCCCACCTAGCACCGAGCTGGAGCAGCTCCCAGGAACAAAAAATGAATACAAAACCGAAACGCTGTCTTCACAAGCAGTACAAACATCAATATCAGAATGACTGGCCTAGGGCCACATTCTTGTCTGGAATTCATGGTGGAACTTTCAACCTGGCAAATCATCCCAGTATTTCACTTGCAGGTCTCCACTGAAACCTGTTAGCTGTGCAGCTAGTTAAAGTCCCCTTTCTGCTACATTTATTTTCATACATTGCCAGTTTATTTTCCAAATGTATATTAAAGTGGCTATGAGTGAGGCTAGCCCATGCAATACTTGATTCTGCCTAGGAGATGAAGGACTAATGTGCAGTTTACACATTCTTCATTCACCAAACTGTATTAGAATTATTTCTCATGCACCATTTCCTCTCATATTTTACTAAACTGCGTTTAAAACAATGCTAGTGATTATGACAAAGATAATGTGTTATACTAAAAATCATTAACATTTGATGTACCAAACTGTCTAACTCCAGAGTCTGTAAATATTAAAACTGTGCTCTTGGACTTCACCCCAATGCAATAAAACTTCTCAGAGGACCCACATTTGTAACAACTTCAAAGTCAGCTGCTCAACCTTTCCAGAGATCAGATTCTGCTATTGTGTTCATCAGGGTAAAAAGCCTTCACTGAGTAGGTGAAGCCTCATTTTAACCTCAACCCCATTTGGTAGGTGTTCCTGGTCACAGGCCAGACTGAGTGCAAAGGAGCTGGCTTAGCAATTCAAAGACCCTAGTGGGGAAATGCGGGGCTAGGGAAAGGGATCAAAGAGCAGGCCAGTGGGCAGAAGTCTACGGGGCACTGACAATGCCTTCTCCAGGCAGAGTTGGCGTTGGTGTAAAAGGCTTGAGCATACCAGGGGATAAAGGAAGGTTTTAAGTGGCAGTCCAGGCACCTTAATCTCTAGATGTGATAGTCTTTCTATGCTTACACTGACTGGGTCTTTTCTGCAATAAAGGCCTCAGGTCATGATACCATAAGCTAGGGAGTTTCAAAGCCATCTGAAAGAATTGGGGGTACTTTGCCTGGAGACGACTCTGAGGCAGGGAGGAGAGTGTTCCTATGATGATAGTCTTCAAAACCCTGGAAGGTCTGACCTGTGTGAAAGGGGGTGGGCTTGTCCTGAGGGCCTTCCAGGGTAAAATTAGGACCAATGAGCTAGAGATCCAGTCTGGAAGATTTCACCTCAATGTCAAGAAAGAGTTTGAAAAATCTGCAGCAGTGGCTGTAGGTCAGGGGCACCTGGGTGGCTCAGTCAGTTAAGTGTCCTACTCTTGATTTTGGTGCAGGTTCCGATCTCACAAGTTCATGAGATCATGAGCCCCATGTTTGGGATTGTCTTTCTCTCTCTCTGTCTCTGTCTCTCTCTCTCTGCCCTCCCCCCCTCCACCCGCTCATGGTCTTTCTGTCTTAAAATAAATAAATAAACTTTAAAAAAATCTACAGCTGGTCATAGAGAGTCGCCAAGGCTTTGTAGTCCTGTGAGCTCAAAACCTTCAGATGACCAGATAGCCGGCAACAGAGAACATGGTAGAAAGATTACTATCATGGGCCTCAAGTGGGCTTGGATGATCTTTAAGGGGTTGTCCAACTCAAAAGATTCTGATCCTTACGAAAGTACAGTGTATAGGAGATTTTAAGGGGGACTTTTTAGGACTGTAGACAAA